AATATTGTCCCCTAAATTTGACTTAGAGTATCTAGTTGAGACTTAGTTTTGTTTAGTCTAAACTAGTTTAATGATACCTCATATTTTTTAAGTAGTGTAGTCCTTCAACTAATAATGTACAAAGATGAGTTAGTCATTACATGAGAAGGTCTGTGAATTATTTTGATATTTTTTCAAGTATTTTAATAAAGACAAGCTATTTTTACATAATTGCAGGTTAAAAAAAAAAATATATATATATATATTATAGTTTGTATTATTCATAATTTATAAATATAATCTCAATTCAAAAAAATTCATACTGTTAGTCTTAATTGTTAGTTATATTTTCTTTTAATTATTATCTATAGTTCTTGTCTATAATATTACTTTAGTTATATTTTTAGATCATATAACACATGTGATGCAAGGTGTGTCTCATTGATTCCTAGTGTATATTCAATTATTAGAGCAAAGTAGTGATTTACGTAGCATACAGTATATTATTTAATTACTTTATTTTATTATTATATCTTGTCTATATTTAGCTAGTAGGTTATCCAAGTGAGCAGATCTGATATATTGATCTAATTTGGCAAATTTGACAGATTTGATTACTTTGGTTACTTTGTTTATCAAATAATTAATATTCAATTATATATATAAAGGCCAGCTATCTAAAGCAGTTGACCCAAGGTTTTACCTACTGAATTTTCTTATCCTTGACATTATATATCTCTAATAAACCTTCTAATTAAATCAAATAACCTAAAGCCTCTTTTAACATATTTGTGTAACCTCTACTATCCTTGAATTATTAATTTTAGTATATCACGACTAAGGTATTCTCTTTCAACTTAAAGTAGATTACTGCTATAGTTGTCCTATCTATCTATCTGATTTGAAGGTTATTGGATAGGTTAACAAATTGGTGATAACTGTGAGATTTACTACTCTGTAAACTATTCTCTAGAAACAATTAGGAAACCTTGTTTAGTATTGGAGATATTCACCTGAAAAGTGATTCAGGAATCTAAAGTCTAGCAAAGGTTTTGAATTTTGTTATATTAATAGTTTAAAAAACCACTTTATTATTAATAATATACATGATACTTTTTACAAAACATATCCAAATATCAACATCAATCAAATTTATTCTTCTTATATTAATAACTCTTGTTTAATTTGCTGCCTATACTAGGAACCTTTTCCTATTTTTTAAAACTTTTGGAATTAATTCAAAGTTGAATTCATTGTTACTTCTTATACTTTTGTAATCCAATATTATTTTAACCAAACTCTTTTTGCTTCTACCTTTCATTTTGATTCCCTACTATCAAAAAACTAATTTTTACTATCCAATACACACATATTTATTTTTTTGACAACATTTATTTGAAACTTTTATTTACTATTATACAATTCAAGCTCTTTACTGTTGATCCCCTTGAACCATCTAATTTACCTGCTAACTATATATCTTGAATAGCTCACTTTTCTTTTAAGCCATCCAAAACTTACAATTATTTTAAAAACCTTTTATTTTTCAATGAATTCTTATATCTTGAATCACTTTTTAACTCTTCTATTTCTATTTCTTATTCTTCTATTCTATCTATTATATCTACCCCTCTTAATAATATATATTTTATTTTAATTTATTTTTTTATATATTCATAGCCAGGCTAAATTGTGGATTTATTAATCAATTGAAAACATAAATACATTTTCATTTGAGCAGCATGATACATACTACAGCTAAACTATTATTCTAATCTAATTAACTTATCATAAGCTTAATAGTCTCTAATTTTGGCCTTGAAAACAATATTTTGCTCTGCAGTGTCTTTGGTAAAGACCCTTCTAGTCCACTGCATTATTGCTAGTAGGTTGTTACTGCCATATGTCTGATCAAGCCACTGGAATACAGGAAACTATAAAAGAATGGATTGAAAAAAGGGTGGGAAATATCTAAAAATGTCTAAGTAAATCACAAGAAGATGAAAAAGTAAAAATAAAAAAAAATATTTTCAGCTTCCTTCAAAGACCTGTTTCTCAAGACCTCTTTTCAATAAGAAGTGTTCAATTGTGATATTTTTTCTTTTCTTGATTGTTTGAGGAACTTATTCATTCTTGATCTTGATTTCCTTCTCATGTGCTATTTGAGGAGACTTATTACTTAGTGGGAGCTTTTACTTCTAGAACACACTTGGTTCTAACCTTATTTGGGTAGTGATTTTTTATCTACCTGTGATAAAAAGATGACTTATGATGAACCCCAGGTTTTTATGTAATCTAGTAGAAACTGGGTCATATCGTTTCAGTATAATACCTTCCAGCAGCCACACCTAGTTAAAGGAATTTTATTAGTGTATATCTTCCATTGTCCAAAATAGTTATTCTCCAAAGATCTTTTTGCTTCACAATGGTATCAGGGTATCAGGAGAGCAGTGGAAATCCTTGTTGATTGCGATATTTTTCAACAACTTCTGGGGAAATGTATTCTCAACTGTAATCAAAGAGTTGGAACTCAGCATGGACTAGAGACCATTCAGTCTTATTGCCTAACTGGAATAAAAAGGAAACCTTAGTCTTGAACTTTGCCTGACTGGAATGATAGAAGAGAAAGACCTCAGCTTTAACAAATTGTAGCTTTTTCACCACCTGGGGACTTGTTGCTTATATCTTATTGACCACATTGTACTTGATTTGTAGATTAACCCAATTGGAGAAGTGAGGTGAATATGGCACATCAATCAACTCTTTCTATCACCAATGACATCATTGGAACATGTGAGATGATCAATAGAAGCTTGTTTACATTCAATTACTAACATGTTTTATATCAATCAATTAAAAGCCTGGTAACCTTGTGCTACCAGAAATTTAGGGTCAAACTGAGGTAGACAAAATTTCTCAAGAAAAACTGTGAAAAACAGTAAACACTTTAAGAGGACTAGAAAAGCTTGAGAAGGTGAATAATAAGCCTTCCCCTACTGATAAAACCTCTATTTCTGTCACTTCAGCTCTGTAAGATGACACTCCACTTGTCAGTCTTTTTACTTCCTAGAACCTTCTTGTCCTTAGTAAAGAAAGTATGTACTTAGATTTTTTCAAATCACTAGAGACCCAAGTTTTTATTCAAAAGAGTTTATAAACAAGTAGGGGAGGGTAAGGGAAATACATGAAAAAAAGCTTCAAGTTGTTTTAATGAAAGTATAAAGACTTTATTAGCAAAGAAATATAAAACTTCTTGTGAACATCTTTTTTGTGTGTGGTCAGAGAATCAGCAAAAAGAGTTTTTTAGATTTTTTTTTATATTTTTAATATATATATTTATTATCTTTTATTCTTATATAGTTATTTGATTTTTTTGATTTTTTGAAAATTTTATCCATCTTAGTTTAATTTTGAATTTTGAGTAACACAACCTATTGTAAAATATAATTAATAGATATAAAATATATTAATAATAAAATATAAACAAGTTTCTATTAGATTAAGTGACAAATAATGTGGATTGTAAACTTCTATCTTTTATCCAAGTTCCTTAAGTAATGATAAAACTTTAATAAAAAAAAGTTGAGATCTAAATACTTTCCTTGCAATATTTTAATCTGATACTTATTTAAATGAAAAATCAATTGGATTAATTTGTCCAATATTATAGATAATGAAAAAGAAGATTTCTTCTAAGATTCAAATAAAGTAAGAAGACTATCTTAATCAAGTAGATTTCTTTTAAAAAGATGTTGTTTTTATTTTTGAACTTTTTTAATAGGCTTTAAATTGTTCTCTTCCTTTAATAATTTACTCCTTTCTTCTTTTTAATTTAGAAATTAATTGATTTTCAAGCAATCAATAATAACAAATTATTGACAATGATTCTAATAGATAGAGATCATTATCAATTTATTAGGGAAATATAATATTGTTTTCAAAATCTGACTTAGAGTACTTATGTATAAAGATAAGTTAATCACTTTATGAAAATCTATAAATTATTGTAGATTTATTTTAACTTTTCAATAAAGACAAGCCATTGTGATATAATTGTAGGTTAAAAAAAAATAAAATAAAATAAAAATAAACAAGCTTCTATTGATCACCTTATATATTTTGATAATATTATTAAAAAAAAGAAAAATTAATTGATACTCTAGTTTTTTTTATTTCTTTAATTGGATTTATTTAATTTTAAAATCATAAAGTTAATAAGATTTAAGTAACATATCATTAAGCTATTATTTTTCAAGTAAAATTTTTCTACTTTTACTATCTTGATTAGTAAAACTATTGAGATCAACTTTAATCTAGTTCAATAATGATTAAGACAATAAGTTTTTGAATAAAATTGATTGAAAAATTCTAAGCAGATATTGTAAAATCAAAAAATATGAATTGAAAAAGTATAGTCTAAAAAATAGTAAAAATAATTATTAAACACAAATTTTTTATTTTATCTAAATAAAAAAAAATATTTTAATAAAATTCTTAGATCCTTGAAAAAAACTTAATTTTAATTTTTTTCTCTTTTTTTTTCTTCTTTTATCTTCTCTTTTCTTTTATATTTCTTTTTCTTTATATAGTTTTTTGTTAACCAATGACTTGATAGAATATATAATAGTGACAAACTGCTAACTGTGATAACAAAATATTATTTTCAAGGCCTGACTTAAAGATTTTTTATGCTTACAATAAGTTAGTTAGATATAATATACTAGCTCTGGTAAATATTTAAGATTATTAAATTAATTACAAGAGTAACACAAAATATAAATAGAGGATCATTGAGTAAGAGTTAGAGTTGCTCAATACTTCAATAAACTGATTTTCTATTTTCCTTTAAAAAAAAATCATTTAAATTATTAAGAGAAATTATATAAAATATATTTGTACTTGAAGAACTTACACTTGTATACCTAATATTATAAAGCACAGTTGAGTTACCCTTTAAATTAATTAAAGTGTAACGGATTTTGCTAATAATCATACATCCTTTACCACGAAAAGAGATTAAAATGTCTGGACCAAGTAATACAAATCACAACACCAGCAATAATATAGTTAGTAACAGTTTCAGTCAACAATCGCCACCTCAACATTTATCTTCCGAAATCCAACAAACACCACCTTCAACTTCATTCTCGCAAACGATATCCTCTCACAATCGGCAACCATCACTTCCTCATGAACAAGTGCCTTTGAGAATACTTGCCATAGGGGCGGCTTATGAGGACACAATACTGCATGTGGATAAGTTCCCTCCGGAGGATGGCAAGCAACGCGCTCAACGGGTGGAAAAACGCAGAGGTGGTAACGCGGGTAATACGCTGACTATATTATCACAATTTCCTTTGGTAAAGACTAGCTTTATGGCATCTATGGCTAGCAAGGAAGCTTCGGCGTAAGTAAGCATCAAAATCAAAAGTTTCGTGATTAATTAATTTAAATGATATATTAATCATCATATTTTGTAGATTCATAGTCCAGGATTTTGAAGCACATAATATAAGAACTTCGACATGTATATTTAAAGTTGATGCAAAACTTGCACCAGTAGCGTATATCATCCATGCCAACAGTACAGGCTCTCGAACAATCGTAAATTATAATAGGTATAGCAGTCTTTGAATTATTAGTTTTATTTATCCACTTTTTCTTATATTTTTTTGCATGTCACACGTGATTTAAGCATAGAAGAACTAACTTTCGAAGAATTCAAAAGAAAATTTGACGCGGCGTGTGCAGAAGAAATGGATGAAGTCCCATTTAACTGGATTCATTTCGAGGGACGTAATGCCGCTGAGGAGACAAAGATGATCGATTACGTAGACACCATGACCTGGCGGAAAAAAACTACAATAAGTGTAGAGCTAGAAAAACCTTATAGGAAAGGTCTAGAGACATTGATGCAGAGAGCTGACGTGTTATTTTTTTCGAAAGTTTTTGCGGAAGGCAAAGGATATGATCATGCTGGCGACTTTCTGCAAGTGATGGGCCCATTTTGTAAAGACACGTGAGTCTATTTTACGCTATTTGTCTTATTTAAGGTCATGACGTGTTATAACGAGTTTTGCAATCTTCTGTTTCTTTTACTGATGATTTAATAGAGCCCATTTGTTTTGCACATGGGGAAGTTTGGGAGCAATGTGTTATCACAACCCTTCTAAAAAACTATACGCGACTTCAGCGCTACCAATACCAAGTGTAGTTGATCCAGTCGGGGCTGGGGATACTTTTATAGCAGGTGCAATTTACAGTCTGTCTCAAGGCATGTCATCAGAAGGATGCTTAAAATTCGCGTGCGAATTGGCAGGTAGAAAATGCGCACAATCTGGATTTGAGGGAATAGTAGAGAAACTAAATAAATCACTTATTTAGAGGAAGCAAAGTTTTCTAGATATATGAGTAACTAATTTCGTAATTAATCTTAATATTATTTAAACCACTTTTTAATAATATACTAAAGTGCCTAGAGTTAATTGAAATCTTAATGCAGTTCATAAAAAATATGTATCTATTATAATGAACATCTATCATACAGCATCCGAGGTCTTTTACGAGCCATGCATATTGATAATACCATGGTTCAGATAATGCACAATTAAGTAAAATCCACGAAAGAAGTATTACTTAACATGTTTGCTTTTAATGACTCTTATACTCAGGACTCACTCAATTCTTAGATTTTAATCAATAACTATTTCTTTTTCATACATACAATGAAATAGATCATATAAAAGAGAATTAATGGAAATTATATTTCATATTCGTATTATGCAAAAATATTATAGCATACCATATGTATAGTTGGAACCGAAAGTAATGGTCGGCAATTTTATAATAAAATTTGAATTTTATATATGTTGATTAAAATTTCATATACAGTATATTATGAAAAAGATATATTTTTTTTTTTAATCTGCAGTCAGGTCAACATGATATACTGTATCTTTATTGTATATATATTGGATATTTATAAATTGTTGTAGCTTTTATATATTAACTTACTTATTATAGACAAACTATTTTTTTTAGATGTAACTTAAGAAATAATATTTTGCTTCTTTATTAATTTGAATTAATCTTAAATTAGTAAAATTATTATTTACAAATTATTATTGTAGATTATTTTAAGTTCTGTTTGCAGTTTAAAAATCAAATCCCTTAATATTAATGACAAATCCATTCTTTAATCATTTTTGTGTAACTCTTTTTTTTTTTTCTTGTTTTCTTAATTTGAATTTTTTATTAAAGATAACATAAATTTTTTATGATTTTGTATAATCAATATATCCAGTCTATATCTGAATTTTTTAACTTTTTTTTTTCTTCAATAATACTTAAAATTTTTTCCAATCTATTACTTTAATATAATAACTATTTTAATCTTTGCTTTAGAGTTTTTTTATATTTTTTGAAAAGCTTATTGATTATAATTTATATAGTTATTAAATTGTTTTTTATAATAAATCTTTAAGGATATAATTCTATTATATATATATATATATATATAATATTAAAGAGATTTCTTTTCATTTATTTGTAAAACTTTCTTCTTGTTTTTTATTTCTTCATTAATTTAGAAATTAATCATTTTTTTTAAATCCATGATTAGGTCAGTACTATGTGTTTATTAATCAATATGAAAACTAATAAAGATACATAGGGCAATTGTATTATGGCTAAATTATAAGACTCATACTGATACATTCGTCAATAGCTTTCAATTCTCAAAAGAGCTTTACCCTCTAAATACAACCTTGAAAACAATATCTCACTCTGAACTAAGTTTTGGATGAACACCCTCCTAATTTACTTATTATTATCAATAGGTTATTACTGCTTATTTAGAAATTAATCATTTTTTTTAATCTTTTGTCAGGCTAGTTATGTGTACTTTATTAAACATTTGTAAATTGTACATATAATTTGAATTACTAAAGCTAAAAAATGCTAACTAGCTCATTTGTCTTTGTAATTACTACTCTAAATGTAACTTTTAGAGTGATTTATCGCTTCATTAGGAGTTCAGGTGAAAACCCTTCCAACTTTTAATATTATTGCCTACAGGTCATTACTGCAGATCACTTTTTAAGTTCTGACATTACTTAAAACTAAAGATGGGTCTCTAAAGAGGAGGCAGAAACAAAAATCCAATATTTCTTAATAGGAAACATTAAAATTTTTAAATTAATAACTATAAAAAAACTACCTACAATTATTCTCTATTATTCAAATCATTGATTTATAGCATTTCCTAACTTTTGTTCCTATTAAAGTAAAGAGTTATGAATTTTGTCTCTCAAAAAGGAACATAAGTGATCTATGAAATTTTATATACTAAATACTTTAGAAACCCAGCATTACTCAAAACCCAACTATCTTATTTCAAATCTAACTCCTCTTAATAAGATATCTTTTAAGTCTTTATTTTCTAATCTTCCTTCCTCCAATATTGAAGTTTTTCTTTTCAGTCATATAGTTTTGGCATCTGGAAGGTTAAGGGTCTTTTTATTTTATCCTTTTTTTGAATTCCTTGCAATCTTTTTCATTCTATTATTCTTTTACATCTTGCATTTCAAATCTTTTTCTGGAACTGGTTACAAGTCATACTTTGTAGCTTCATGATCCATCTTTTTAATTCTTTTTCAATTCTTTTACCATGGTATTTAAGGTCTGCTATCTTAAGAATGAGTTCACTTCTTATTAACCCTGCAAAGAAACTTAGCATATCCTGACTAGTTGCTAAGAACTGTTCTACTAGCCTAAATATCCACTTGTATACTTCATACATTTCTTCACTATTATCCACTATTAATCTAGTATTCTTCTTTTCTATTTTCTTTTTCCTTTCCTGTAAAAGTTTTCTGAAATTCATTAGAATTCTTTCAAGATCTTTATTCTATATCTTTTTTATCTGTTCCTTATATGCTAGACATTCTAGCAAATGATTAATTGTTTCTTTCTCCTGAAGATCATATGCAGTGCATTTCACTTGCTTATATAAATCTGGCCTTCTTATTATCATTTTACTTAATGTTGGTAGCTTGTTATTCATTAGCTTGCTTAGGAAGCTTTTTCTTTAACAATCTTTGAAAGATATATCCCATATATGGCTATTTATTTTCTCCTATATTAGATTCCATATATAGCCTTGTTGTTCTTGAATTTAGTGGCTCCATTTTTTTTCCATTCTGCTTTATAATGTCTACTGATATACTATAGTCTTATTATTTATTTTCTTGATGAATTATCTTATAGAATTATCTAAAGTTTTGTTTTGCTACTTGATTTCTGTAGTGATTTTGTATGATGTGAGATTTTTCTATTCTATTGCTAAAAGTTTAAGAGCATCTTTGATTAGAGCATCTGTTTCATTATTATGAAGATTTTGAGAATGTGTCTTGATCTTAATAAGCTTCAGATCTAGATATTTTTTTTTAACCAGCTCTATCATTCATACTTATAATGACCAGTTTTTATTCTTTAGTAATCTTTTATGTGTTCTTTTTAGATCATCTTTTTTAACTATTTTTTATTTTAAGATATAGGTTTGACTATTTGTAAAGATTTCAATTGAGCTATCTACTGGAATAACTAGGAGTATTGTGACTATTGCTGTTAGTTCTGTACATGTGAATGAGGACCAACTGTTTAACCCTGTTTGAAATTTGCTTTCTTTTCCTATATCACTTATTTGGATCCATGCTGCTCCCATATTCATATTGTTACTGCTATAATTTATTAATAATCCATCTGAATAGAAGGTTAACTTTTGTTTGGACCCTAGATTACACTGGAATATCTTTATTAAGTGATCTTGATATACTCCTTCTTTAACATTTTCTTTAATAATTATTTCTTCCTAACTTTCTATATTTACAAATCCATCTTGATACCTTGAAAAATGAACTGTTGGAATGGCTTCTGCAGACTCTATACAAATACTTGATTGCTATCTATTGTTTTTTTTATTGCTCTTTCCAAAGATATTGTGGGACATGTGATTGTTAGCATCTGGGCTCTTCTAGTACTTTTTCTTATATTAATATATGATATTATATATATCTCTTTCATATCTTCCTTTATAATGCAACTTTGTTCTTGAATAAAATCTTCTGAGCAACCCATGTATTTAATTAGCTTTGTCTCTTGACCATTTTCACTATTCAGGCACTTGTAGTGTTCGATTTTTGCTTTTCTCTTAGATTTTTTTTGTAGTAACTTTTCCTACATTAGTTAATAATTGGTATTCTTTTTAATTATCTATATTTTTTGTCTCTTGTCATGGTTAGGGCTAACTATAAAATATGTTGGCTCCCATTTTAGCCAATCTATTTTTCACAACTTTATAAATTGATTTAAATGATCTTTGGAAAACCTTCTACTTATATTTAAGAACAATTTTGGGATAAAACCTTTATCAGTTTTTTGGATAAGTTAAAGCATATATCAATTTCTCATTTCATTTGCTTCATAGTCGATGGGCTGATTTATATACATCAACTTGTTGTTTCTTAGTGATAGTATGTCTTTATTATACTCCTCAAATGAAATATATTCTTGGATTAGACTATTTTCTTTTTTTTATTCGAAGATATCATATTATTTCAAACTTTGAAAAGTAATTTCCATATTTCTAGCTAACTTAATTATTTGAAGTAAAAAGCTACCTTTGTTTATAAGATAGTCTAGTAAGTTATAAGTCAGCAGGTTAAGTGGTTCCCAATATTTGATTTATGCTTATTTGAGCCTTATGATTATTGTGATTACTGTTGATCCAAGATTATTCAATCTATTGTACAATCCTATTATCTGATTTTCTTTTTATAGCATTCAGATGCTCTTCAAATTATGGATTTTGGAGTGATATATTATGCTGTTAAGAGTAGATTTGCATAATAAACTTTTATTGTTTGAAGAGTTTTTTATACTGTATACTGCTATTAACATGTTGCATATTTTTCAAGACAATATGCTATGCTATATTCTAAATTCTATTCTTAATATTAA